TCTCCCCCTGCCCGGAGGGGACTCAGCCTTCCGGTCTAATTTGTCGCTTAGCAGATTTTATGTCCTTTTGTGTCACTGTCATCACTTGCGCTACCTGTTTTGTTGATTAAATAAGCACATAATCTGTGGTATGATTAAATGGAGGACTCTTTCCTCTACCCACCCTGAGCGTCCCAGATGAATCCGTCTTTGCCACAGCTGGCTGCAGCCATTGGAAAGATTAGATTCTCAGTGGTGTTTGGCAAAGTATCGTCACAGTGTGTTTATCGCCTACGAATGAATCCACGGTCACAGTGGGACGGACACTTTTGTCTTGTCTGTCTTTCAGTCTGTTCTCTCCTGGCTCATCAATAAACATAGTCTAGTGTCAACAACAGATGTGGAATTTGAATAGCGATTGTCTCTCACAAAGGCTGTCCCATCAAGACACCTGTTCGTCTTCTGGTGTTTTCTCTCAAACTGTGGCTAAAGACTGACACGTCGGAGTTCAAAAGCGCAGTTCGTATCTGTACGCCAAAACATTCCCCAGTTCTCCCTGCCAGCAGTCCTGTCACTCATCAATCTCCCTCACCTTTTTGGCAAATTACTCCCTTTAGAGGGAATGGGGGCGGCGGGGGGGTTCCTATGAATTTCTCATTTTATTTCCCCCCCATGTCTGGTTTATCTCTCTGCCTTCATCTTCTCCATCTCCAGGCGCAGGTAGAGCAGCTTTCAGCCTCACTGTGCTTCTGTCTCAGTGGCTTAACATCAAACGCTGACAGCCCTTCCCACCTTGTCCCTCTCTCCCATCACCCTCCGCCCCCCCCTTTTGTTTTCTACCTGCATCACCCTCGTGCTTGTCACCTCACCACATCGTCTCCTCCTCTCTTCCCCATCACTTGTTGTGCTCCTTCACTCCCCTCTGTACATCTCCTCTTAACCCTCCTCTTCCTGACCTCAGAGATCTTCCCCAGGGGCCCCACTCAGTCGTCATGGTTACCACGAGACCATCTAATACCACTGTCTTTGCTCTTTCCAGCAATATCTTTATTTATTTGAAACAATAAACGTATAAACAGAGTGGGAGATAATGCTCGTTCCCAATCAGGAATCGATCCAATACTGAGGATCAGTATCAGTCTGATATTGGTCAGGATGACAGGATCAAACTAGAAATCAACTCGAGCCGCATGACTCTTTTCTCACGCATTTCACCATATGTTTTGTGTATGTTTTACTACATGTTTTATGGTGAAAATTTGAGTCACGTTTCTGCTAAGAACCCCAAAGTTAGTCGAGGACCCGCTGTACTTTTTTATTCTGAATTTCGCAGTTCAACATGTCACAGCAGCATAGGCGATTGCTGCAGCAGATTAAAAGACCTCTGTTGATGCGGTAAAAATGAAATCCAAATTCAGTTTTTCCCATTGCATCGATGGAACCAGAACCCAGTTTTTACTCATATTTAACTTCCCATCGCAGTCCAAGGTGCTGAGAAGCATTTTTCTTGTTTATAACCCGCCGAGAAAGTGATGAAAATGTTAACAGGGGCACATGGATGATGTTGTGAGCCATATTAAATTGCTGCTGGGATTCAGGATGGAGGAGAGGAGGGGGGGTGGCAACCATGTTGCTGCTCAGCATCTACCCCCAGGTCTCGTTAAGAATGGCCATATGAGATTCTGAGCCGACGGCATGCTGTGCAAACACAATTTGTCTCTCTGCTCTCATTTGAGTCATGTCAGAGCTCAACTGGGTTTTCATTTTACTTTGTAGAGCAGTGCTACATCATAGGTGTGTTGATGGAAATATATTAAATTATTCCCTTGTTAATATAATTCTTTTTTCCAGTTTTTCTTGGGAAAGTAAGCTAGAGGTGACACTAAGGAAATATCTATTATTCTTTTTCCCCACTGCTGAGTAGAATTCACGAATAGACTGTTTTTCATCTTCTCCTGCAGAGCTTCAGCGTGGTCCAGGAGGAGGCCGGGTGCGTGGAGGGCTGCAGCTCTACGACACCCCCTATGAAGATCAGCAGGGCAAAAACAGAGGTTTGGTGTATGGGGAAGCACAGGAGGAGGGCAAGGAGAGCAGCAGGTTGCCCCAAGATGACGAGAGGCCGGCTGATGAGTATGACCAACCCTGGGAATGGAAGAAAGATCACATCTCCAAAGCATTCGCAGGTATTTTGACTCTTAAACCAAGAAAAACGATCTAAAGTTTGGTTAAACTGTGTGATCACAAACATAATCAAATCTTCAGAGCTGCACGGTATTATATATTATTATATATATCACTGTGTTTACACCCTGTTGATTCTTAAATTGTTGAAGGCAAATAATTTTTTGAAGACATGTTGTTTAGGTGTATCTCAATAACATTTTTTTTAATCTAGAACACATTTTTCACAATAGAAAAATCATGCGGTGCACCACCAAACAAAAATGTCACAAAAAGTATATTTAATTGAAATGTAATGATCAGCTAGTTTCAACTAACTTAAACTGACAGGAATCTAAGAAAGATCACTCCAAGATCTTCCACACTTCTGATTCTGTAGAAGTATTTCCCTGCAAGGATGTTGGGAAATACAGCAATTAGTCAGTGTTGCAGTAGGATAGAGTAAAATGTTAATAGTTAATTAATGTTAATTTGTGACATTGTGAAAAATATTCTTTTCTAAATCAAACAACAATTTTCTGGTGAAAAGCCTTTTAACCCGAAACTAAGTTAATAGAATTCATTAAAATGGTTAAAAGCAATTTAAGTTGTGCTTTTTTTTTAAAGGCCTTACCCTTTTCACAGAGAGTAGAGAGCGCTGCTGCTAACTGTCCTGACCTTTGAATAGTGTCTGCACCGATTTCACTACATCTTCAAAAGCTTCTTTTTTTAAATTGCAACTAATGTGACCTTGGCTGTCTGAGCACCAGTGACACCTACCTTTCTGTCTCATTTACCACACTTTTCAATCAATACAACACCTTCTGTTGAGTATTGATTTCTGGGCTTGTTATTAAACCACATTCACAACCTCAGTTCAGATAACCATCGCAGGGAACAGAGACGAGGAGTCGTGGTAGACATTGATGGTATGAACAGAAGGTTGACAGAGGAAGGATCCAGAAAAGACGTTTCGCACCTTGACACTTTTTCACACTGGTATAAAATTTAAACTATTATTAAAGTTGCTCTTCTGTCAGTGGAACCGTGTTCGTGAGAGTGGGAGAAAGTGAAAATGGAAATAGGGAGTTAGTGAGAAATGGAGCGGTCATTTAGTAGTGGATCTGTTTAAGATATGCCTGGCCAAGGCAGCTTAATTGAGCCGCGTCTCCCAGTCACCAAGGTCAAGGTGATGGGATAATAAATCAACTTCCCTCTCGTCCACTGTCTTTCATTCTCAATCTCTCTTTCTCTTTCCCCCTCCTGTACTGGCTCCTCTTGTACTCGGTTAATTATGTGCCTCATGTGCATGACTGATTCAGGGCTAATAAGAGAGTCATGGTCAGCACACAATTGTCTCAATACATACACACACTCTCACCCCCCCACCCCCTCCGCCCCCCCTCGCTCTCACTCACTTTCATGTATCCTTAACTACGAGCGGCCAAATGGCAGCCTATCTTATTAGAGAGCTGGGATTTAAAAGGAGGTGCCGGGCTGATCATTTAAAGTCAACATCACCTCTAACCTACTTTCTGCTGACTTTATCCACTGTTATCTTCCTTTCAAGCGCCTTCTTTTTATACTACACACTGTGAGAACTCCACAATACGAGTACTTGCAGGAATCCCAGTTTACACACTGTTGGAAGAAAACGCTTGTGAGGCTCGAAGTGTCTGACCCTTGATTTTTTCCATTGGAGTCAGCACTCTGAGCTAACACGCTGTCAGTCTTAGCAGACCAGAGCAGTCAAGTGTAAACACACAAACATTGTTTTCCACGCTCACATTTAATCCATATTCCCAAGCCTTTCCAGTGCTGCCGGGCACAGCGGACCAGAGGAAGGAGGGGAAAGACGGGGAGGACAAGTACAGAGCAGGGAGGCTTGGCTGCTGAACAGAGATGGAAGGGTGGGATTGAGGAAGAGAGGAATGGTAAATGGATAGAGATGAGCCGGCTGTGGATAGATAGAAAGGGCTGTTCAAGGTTACAGTATGTTTTGTTGCAGCTCAATGGNTGGGGGAGAATTAATGGTCGGGGGCTTCGGCGAGTGGAGGTGAGCAGAGAGGAGGGGGAGTCGGTGCCATTTTAGAAGGGTGCAATCAGTCATCGGCTAACACAGGCACACACTCTGGTGTACACAGCGGTGGTGACAGGGCTGTCCCTGCAGCGCCCCCTCCCTCCCTGTGGATGTGACACATTCACTCAGATAACCTGCTACAGAGGGCAAAGTGGGGCATCACAATCTGCCAGCAGCCCTTCATCATCATCACCACCACCTCAATCCAGGCACACACACACACACACACACAAACAGTCACTGAAATGAATTTTCCAGCTGTCATTGTCACTGGGTAAGAAGATATCGTGTGCACATTCACTTTAACAAGGAAGGGCAGCGGGGGGGGACATCTGGACAGGTCAACTGGAATATGAAACTCTTAAAACGAACACACCTAAAAATCCTGTCATACAGTTTTTATTTATTTATCTGGAGTTTTAACACCAGCCCGTCTGTGGGTTGGGTGGTTTTTAACAACCTTGTTTGAAAGCTGTCATCAGTCTCCACCTTCTCCCAGTAGGCCTCTCCAGGATGTCAGCTGACAGTCCAGATGACAGACCGCGGCTGTATCATATGAACAGCAGCGGCGGCTCTTCTTCGTTTCTTTAGGGCTAGATTTTAGTGATGGAAGTTGGTTTGTTAGGTTTCTTACGGTTGTTTAAAAGGTTTTATGGTCCAGGGCGAGCGCTTGATGTCGCTGATTTTAGCTAGACCGTGACGGAACAGAAGAGGAAGTGGAAATGTAAAGAGAGAGCTGCAATCATCTGGAAATGTAAATGGGTGAGGTGGATGAAAAACATCGTCGCTGCTACAATTATGCTACCATTGAGTAGAGCATTTGTTCTTCACTCTCTTCACTGCAGCTGCTCATTAGCCAAGCACTGATGACTGGATAACTGAATGTGTTTGGCTCAAAGAAATGTAGATTTTTTTTTTTTTTTTAACCTCACTCCACAGTATCTCTGGAGCGACTAGGGTTTCAGACATTAGTCTAAAACAACATTTACCTCGATTATACATATTGGTTTTGGGGGGAGTATGTAATTATTTTTGTCCAGTGAGAATATTTTTCAGTGCTTTGTTCAAATAAGTCATCAAGCAAACAGGTTTTAATTCACTCCATCTCATCTCCATTCTTTATTATTGGTAGTGCACAGCTACAACATGTTCTCTATCTTGATGTAATCCGTATGGAATGCTTATTTATTAAGATAGGAATTCAGAATAAAAAAACAAAGCTGATGCACTGATTTGTTTTAATATGATTAATTAGCTCATTACGTTGCTGAAATCTGACAATGGAAAGCTGTGTGGCCAATCAGTGACATGCAGATCTGATCTGGTTGTGTTCACTCTATCAGATGGAAATGAGGAAATGAAGCTCATCGCTGCAAACTAATTTGCCAGGACAAAAACAGCATATAGAATATTTGTTATTATTTCTCTCTCCTTTGATTTGAGCACTTGTAACGTCAGTACTAAGTATAGTATTATGATATTATAGTCTTCATTTTAGGATCTTTTTTCAGTGTGATTTTAAAAAAGCCCAGATCCAAACAACGTAGAATTATAGGAGAACCAAAAAATATGTATTGTTAAAGTTGACCTGTCGATCTTTTAACATAGGTTAGCACTGGGCTCTTCCTTAATATAGAATGAACCCCTATTCTATATGTACTATGTAAGATTGCCAATAGTAATTATATCTGGCAATAATAATAATTATGAATCCCACAACCCCCTGCAGTGCCTCCTCAGACCCCTAGTTGAAGAGCTCTGTTAAAGCCCTTGATCAACATGAGACGTTCATGCTTCATTAAAGGTTTATTTTACACCTGTTATAGTGAATGTGTAACTGTATTCTGTCTAATTAAAGACACGGTTGTTTTTACTTTTCATAAGCGTTTGTTTGATGGAACACGTACAACAGAAAATCCTGTACATGTGTAATGCCCTCAAGTCTTAATACAAATGTGTCATGTGACTTAGAAGGTTGAGTTCATGGTTATAGAGTTCAAGGTTTATTCAAAGAAGGTTCCTCTTCTGCAAAAGTCACGGTAAATATGAGCACGAAGGTGACATCTGCAGCCTAAACTCTGAGATGATTTTTTTTCACGAAGGTGACATCTGCAGCCTAAACTTTGAGATGATTTTTTGCGGCGAAATGTGATGTGTAACTAAAGCAAAGGTAAATTGACAAAACCTCAATTTTTTTTTAATCACTCTGCCTTTAAGCAAGCAGAAACCAGAGAGTGTCGATCAATAAGAGAGAAATGCAAAGTAGCAGTTTAAAGTGCTGGACAGAATGATTAGAAACATGAATTCTCCTCCTAACATGATTCTGCTGATGATGACGAGGGGAACACATTATCTTCAGTCAGAGGAGGATCTGCACAGCCTTCAACAGCTAACATCTTAATATTACTGACAGCCCATTGCTATTCCTGAACATGTGCGTGTGGGGAATATGAAGAGTAACACGTAACCTTATATTCTGCTACAAATTAACAGCTGAGCAGCAGGAAGAGGGTCGCGGGTGAACACAGTGAGTGATGTGCAGTAAATGCCAGCAGCTCGTCCTGTGGAGAAGCACCGGCGCTGTGATTGATTGTCATCTTTCTGAAGGGTTTAGCAGCGGATTTAGGAGGATAAACACGCCTCATTAAAATTGCATTAAAATAGATGATGTATTTAGACTGCCAAATAGAGAAATTAGATATAAATATTCAAGAATTAAAGGGGAGATGCATCAGTGTTCACAAGTAAACTGTGGAGCTGCTCCAGCAATTTGAATGTATCATATTTTATATAAGTATTTTCTCCATTTTTACACTGAAGATTTTAAGTCTATCAAATAAACCCTGGTGTCAGCAGACTGAAGGTTGAACTGACTGAAGGCTGACTCTCCTGACAGGATCGCTGACCAGGACGTAACCACTGAAAAACCCCGTCCTGTACGGT